GCTCTCTCCTGTATAATCTCTCAGTCTGTTCCCACGCACAGTCCTCAGCAATGAAGGGCTTCATGGGAAACCGCTGTTTGTGTAAATGTAGAGCGAACAACAAATACTTCTAGTGACCAGAGATTGAGAAATTTGTGGCAGATTAACTGCACTTTTCAGAAGATCTGTGGATTAGAGATGAGGCAAGAAAGAGAAAGCTCAAGTTGCCAAAGCAGGAAAAAACATACCAAGGTATGTTCGAACAGTGCATCGCACACAGAGGAGCCATAAAACACAAAGGACTGGAACAAGTGATCAGACATCTGTAGAGAGAGGCGGCTCTGACTGGCTGACTGAGCCTGTAAAGAAGTCTAATCAACAATATACAACCTGCGACATGTGTTTGGTGCTTGGACAAAAACACAAGTAGTCTACAAAACACTTACATCACACTGTTCCTACACTGATTCAACATTATTAAAATACTTATATTACTGTCCTGCACTCACTTATGTGGCAGATTACCATATTACAGACTATTGAATTCATGCATTTTAATGCTTAATATACACTTGCTTAAATACATGTTTCTATGTATTCTTTACATTGTCATTCCAATGAGGTTGCCATGTTAAATGATCACCCTCAACCTAGAAAGCATTTGTTGTACGAATGTAAAACATTATTGTTGAGTAAAGTGAATGTACCTCAAATTAAAAAACCAGAATCAAAAGAAGCCAACATTTATCAAGCTTCAGTCCACTGAGTGAAGTAGTAGCTGTGTGCAGACTGCAGGCTGATACAGCAGCTTCTCAACTTGCATGTGTATCAACATGTTTCCTGACACTCACTGTACATGAGTGGGCTCCTGGCCCGTGCCCTCCTCTGTGTGCAGTAACAGAAGTGAAGGACCAGCAGCAGGTCACCACAGAGCTGCTCCTCTCATCCCTCTCAGCATCAAGGTGCCGGGCAGCAGATGATGAAGACCGGAGCAGAGAGGAACCGGCCCCCCGCTGAGAGGACAACAATGGAGCTCATTCACACGCACACCCTCCACCACCACCACCGCCGCCTACCTTCTGATAAGCCAGCTGGAGGTAGTTGTAGGGGATCCTCCTGCGGAAGTCCTGCACCACATCCTCGCTGAGTTTGTGCACAGACTGCGCGCCCAGTTTCTCCTCGATGCACGTGTCCATGCACGCCGCTCTCCGGAGCACCGCGTCGAAGAAGAGCAGGTCCGAGAAGCTCCCGTCCAGCGGCTGCTTGTCCTGGCACCGCAGCCGGCAGCGGACCCTGGTGCGCCGGGCGTCTGTGTAGCTGCTCAGCGCCGCCTCCATGAACCGCACCACGCCGCTGTAGTCGCCGGAGTAGAACGCTTGCACCGCGGTTTCGTACAGGAGATCGCAGGGCTCCAGGAAAGCGGCGGATGATGCCAAGGAGAGCAGGAGCACCGAGCACAGAGCTGCCGGGGAGAAGTTCACATCCATCCTCTGCGGAGGTTCAGGCCGTGAGGGGCGAGCTTCAGGCGGGCAGCGGGCTGTCAGTCACCGGGGCTCCACGGTCAGTCCATTTAAATGTCCCTCTCTCTCTCGGGGAGACTCGGGGCGGCAGCAGCAGCAGCAGGGCGGAAATAACGCTGCTTCAGTCGGGGACACACATTTTCTTATGACCCTTCTCCGCTTCCCCCTAACTCCTCCCCTCCAAGTGTCCGGAGCTACAGCCTCTCCTGCGGGGCTGACATCACAGACAGGGGGGGTCCTTCAGGGAACCCCGCAGGAAGCCGCCCACACCGGGGAGAACACTGTCTGCTGACCGAGCCGCTGCTTCACCCTCTTTATATACAGTCTATGGTTTCACCACATACACTCAGAAAACAGCTTTCAAACTTTGTTAACTTTCTTTTCATGAGACGGTAAAAGCTGCAGATGCGAGGACAGTGGAAAGAAAAAGTTTGGGTTCCTTCGGATAAAGTGACCAGAAATGTGCCTGAAAAACAAATGAGCCTAAGAAACCAAAAACTATGTCAAAATAAACAGTTATAATCCACATTTATAATGAATGTGTCTGTAATAATTCATTTTATATTCTTTTTAACTTTGTTTTCAAACTGAACTTTGTGTTTTGATAAAGTGACTCAAAAAACGAACTAACTAACGAACTAACATCTGCCCATAGACTAAAGATGACAAATTGTTAACTTGCTGCATTTAATTGGAAGGCTAAATAAGAATTACAATAATACGTTTCAAATATGTGAGTTGCTTGGTAGATATTTTATATAAAAAGTTTGGGTTCCTCCCTCAGATAAAGTGACCAGAGATGTGCCTGAAAAACAAATCAGCATAAAAAAATTAAATGATCACAAGATAGAGTTGAATAGATTAAAGTGTGACTGTTATCTGAACAAGCTATTTATTTTACCTCTATATTAAATCTGTGCTAAGTCATTTTATATTCTTTATACCTTTGTTTTCCTTCTCTTCCTTTATGTTTCTATTAACCAACTAACTAACTAACTAACTAGCATCTGTCCTGGGATTAAAGATGTTAACTTGCTGCATTTGTATAAGTATATTTTATAATGAGCACTATCCATGCTAGGCTGAATAATAAAAATAATAAAAACCAAGATTCAAATATGTGATTGGCTTGGTAGAAATTTATGAAAGATTCATATATTTTATTTTATAATGAGATATGTAGTTGTGTATAAATACTGGAGGGTTTTTTATTTCTCAGGAGGTTCAGTCAGGTTCTTTCCACTTTAAATACACTGTCTCCCTCTAGGGGAAATGTTTGCTAACAGCAGTTTTAAAAACATTCAGGACAAGACTGAATCTTTAAAGTTGAATAAATTAACACCATCAGCCTGTTAAACAGCCTCTTTGAAAGAACAGAAAGAACAGAAGCCACAGGTATGTGGTCCAGCAGGTGTAGAGGTGTGTGTGTATATGTATGTGTGTGTGAGTCCAAACTTAAATCAGCTAGAAAACTGACTGAAACACGTCTGTGTGATTGTTTAAAAGATCCTATCAAGGTTTTGAAACCAAACTGTGAGAGTTGTGGATTCCTCCACTAGGGAGAGGTTAACACAGGAGGAAGTTGAACCTCTCTTCTTATTGTGCAGTGCACTGATTGAGATCCGTCTTGTATTAGAAATAAAGTGAATTTGTGGAACAACATTGCAGAATCACAAATAGGCCTGTTGCTGGAAAAGATTCGCATCTGCTGAGGTCTTTCTCCAAAACAGATAATCAAGGACAAAAATAGTTTGTAAAGATTTTATCAGTATTTCTATATGTGCACAATAAACTACATTTACAGGATAAACATGTGAGCTGTTTTTGAAAACCAGGACAACCAACATCAAAACAAGTTGAATTAAGCAGGATGTTGACTGGCTACCACTGCCACAACACATCCATCACACAGCTTACCATTTTCTCCAGTTTTATTTTCACTCTTTGTCTGAGGATTCAGGAAGTGTCTGCACTGTGTCGCTCCCATGAGAGATTCTAAGTTAACATCCACTCAGCCTGCTACTGTCGTCATTTTCTTCAACGGTTTGGTTGTTAGGTTTAAAAAATGTTTTTTCAGAATGTCATAGAGTTCAGAAAAACATGATTTAATAAATTCTTCTGCATTTAGAGTTCATTTAAATAATAATGAATGGACTTGTCAAACAAGGTGTTACACACACACACTGATGTATCTTGTAATGGTTGTGAGATTGGAGCAAACTGTGGATGTTGATTCTTCTTCATGAGGTCAGGTAAGAAAACCTTGAGATGTGTTTTAAAGGTCCAGTGTGTAAGATTTAGGTGAAAGGGATCTATTGGCAGAAATTGAATGTGGAAATAAATCCTCATGATGTTTTCAGTAGTTCATTTCATCTAAATAGTATGAATTGTAGTTTTCTTTACCCCAGAAAAGGTCCTTTATATTTAAATACTTTATATTTACATCGAGGGGACCCTCTCTACAGAGGCCGCCATGTTTTTTACATCAGTCCAGACTTGACATACAAAACACCTTTGAGTTTTTTTAACAAATAAAGGCTACCACAGGTTCTTTTTCAAGGAGAGGGTGAGGTGAGGGGTGTTCAGCTGCAACATGCAATTTCAACAATAGATATCACAAAATTCTACAAACTGTACCTTTAAATGTGATATTTACTGAAGTGTATACTTTCCCCTTGATTATACATTTGTTTGAGTAGTTTCATTCTAAAGTGATGTGAGGAGTCCTGCAAAGTTTTATCAGTCCCTATTTAAGGCAGGAGTTTTGATACGCATGATATTTTTGTGCAGTGTTTCCCTCCTCTGCGGGTGATGTCTCCCTAATGTGATGAAATCCTCTCTGCTTCTAAAGAGTAGGCATCTTAACACTCTCTCTTCTCCATGAAGGGATCAAAACAGCTGGAATTATTCAGAAATCCTCTTTTAACAATAAATTCTCTATTTGAGTGCACAGTGGTATCAGTTGTAACAAATGTCAAACAAAACAGCTGTGTATGTGTGTTGTTTACAAAGATTAAATAATAAAAGTGTCTTAAATAATCTAAAATTGTTTCTTATAGTAAACCTGTGTCTAGAATCATTATTTAAAATGTTTTTGTCAGTAATTTCCAGAGTTATACAAAGATTTCTATGCAATATAAAGGAAAACAAGGTAAACCACATTATTGAAAACAAAATCAATTTATTTTTTCTCAAAATGAACTGTGATCTTTGTAATTTCCATAGAATGTAGGAAAACAATTTGACGGGTTACAGGACATAAAATGAACAACATAAACAACATTAAACCTGTGTCAAACTGAAAAGGCAAGGGAAATGACTTGTATAGAAATGTACACTGTAAATAAGTACAGAAATCCTGCTACACAGTGAAGAACTTTACAGATCCACTGTAAACTATTCAAACAAATGTTCTTCATTGAAGCTGTGAAGAGAAACATCATGATTTCATATGAATTCAAACCGTCTGACCAAGTCTGATGTGTTTAAACAAAAACATACCAATGACTGGCTGGATGTAGGTCGTATATTTACAACAATCAAGTTGTCCTCTGAATGGACTGTGTCACCTCCCGACTACACGTAGTTGGACTTGGACTTAGTGGTGGACAGGAAGTGGTTGGAGTTTGTGGACTCAGGGGATTCAGACCGTGAGCATCGACGACAGCTCAGGAAAGTGCCACCGGCAATAGTGAGGAGGCCACCGGCCCAGCTGACAAACACTGCCTTCCCAAACTCAAAGCTACAAAAAAAAAGGTACACACCTATTTAAATGCATGTTTACAAGATCAGTGCGTGTATTCACGTGTACTGAGCGCATCGCTTCACTGCTGTACCTTTGCAGGTGATTGGATGAATGGAAGTTCTGAACGATCATTTTAACGTACCAGGAGGTGATAATCACAGTCACTAAACCTGAAAAAAAAGATATATCAATGGATCATTTGTTGCAATTGAAAGACAATGGTAGAGAAAATAATCTGTTAAAAGTTTTCAGAATAATTGCCAATAATTTTTCTGCAATCAGAATCAGAATCTGGTTTTATTGCCAAGCAGGAATTTTGTGTGGTGTATTTTTGCAAGTATAAATATAGATAATATAAAAATAGGAAACAAAATCAGATATAAAAAATACCACAATGAATTAATTTAATTGTTCCAGCTCTAAAAGTCAGCCTCCGGTCAGAGTGCAAACAAAAACAAGACAACAAAGATTCAAAAGCAAGCTATATAAAATTAAAAGACAGCTAATTATATAATACAAAATCTAAAATCAAGGTCAGCAAATAAATTAATAAAACCTCATTTAAAATTCATGGCAAAGGAAAATTATATATTAAAAAAAACATTATGGCAGCTGTCAATCAAGTAAAAGCTAAAAGGTGATTCAAAGACCAGACAGTGAAGTTTCCAGTGTGAGTTCCTCAGTTCAACTAACCCACTCCACACTATACAGCACTGAACACACACCTGAGACCATGAACATGATTCCTCCGATCATGGCTGTAATAGATTTGCTCTCGGCCTTTTCATCCATGAAGCGAGTGCACTTCATCCCCACAGTGGAGACCATCAGGGCCACAGCAGAGAGGAGGATGCTGAGCAGCATCACCGCCCTGGCCGCCTGCACCTCAGCTGCAGAGGAAGACAGATGTGAACAGATGTGGGACATAATCTCTGTGTCTCTAACCTGCATGTTACATTAAAACCACACATTCAATTAACCTTTGTCAACAGCAAACCAGATAAAACTGAAATAAATCAATGATTGGCAGCACTAGAATAAAAAAAACACATGATGTATAAATTCCTCATATGATTCCATCAGGTCAGAAGAGGTCAACCCAAAGACTTGAGTCTAATTTTAGAAACTTATTATCGGTGGAAGGCATCTCAACGAGCAGCGCCTGGTTTCTGGAGGAGATGCAGATGTAAAAATAAAAACTCACCGGGCAGCTTCAGGAGATACTCGTGGAATTCACATGTTGTTCTCTCGTTGCCGCTGCAGCTCATCCACAGACCCTCATACACTCTGTGCGCCTTTCCCTGCGACTGCTTCTTCCATTCCACCATGAGGGTGGCGGCGACCGTGGCAGCGACACCGACCAGAGAGAGGAGGAACCCCAGGAGCTGAATGCCCGAGCTGGCCATCGTGCACCCCGGCTACAGCAAGGGAAAAGAGTCCGAGAACTTTTAATGGGAAACTGCTTTAAACAAGTTATAATAGAGGAGAAAGAGAGGAGAGGAGGCTGAAGTTAAACCTGTGGTTCCCCTCACCTCTTCAGACCGTTATACACGCGCTCTGCTGCAGACTCTATTTAAAGTCCAGGGCTGTGACGCACAGGAGGTCTGTCCTCCACCTGCAGAGGATGATGGGAAGTCTTTTCCCACCACGTTGGTAAATACAGACTCCTCTGAATGTAAAGGAGTTTTAAAAGTGCAGCTTCGCTCTCTGCCAGCGTCATAAAAACTTCTCAGCAGCCATTAGTTTAGGTTAGGTTATTCATTTCAAACATATTCAAACTAAAAATTAAAAAAAAGAAATGTGTTTAAAATCAATCAATCATGTCCAAAGTACAAATTAAAGCGTTTCATGAAAACATTTTGTGTAAAATGCTCTAATATTCCTTCACAAACAGCTCAGTCACAATCTAACCCTAGGAAGGAAGGAAGGAGGAAGATTCCTGTTTATTGTCCCACAATCATGCACACACAGCACTACATTCAGCATTTAACCCATCTGTGTGAACACAGCACACACAGAACACAATACACACAGTGACCACACGGAGCAGTGGACAGCCTTGAAGGTGCCCGGGGAGCAATTGGGGGGTTCGGTGCCTCGCTCAAGGGCACCTCAGCAGTGCCCAAGAGGAGAAATGGCACCTCTCCAACTACCAGTGCACCTTTTCGTACTTCGGTCCATGCTGAACTTGAACTGGCCACCCTCCGATTCCTCCAATTCCCAAGCCAAGTCTCTATGGACTGAACTGCTGCCTCCCACAGATATGACTCAGCGACAGCAGATAAAGACAATTAAAGCAAACTGAGGATTTAGCCTCCCTAGTCGCTGTCTCACTTCCCCTCTACATCATCACCACGTCTATTCACTATATTGGTTTTAAACATCTGATTAAATGTATTTAGTCACCACACTTACAGCTTTGATTGTTATTCAATTACTTTTAGAATGAGTCAAAACAGCACTTCCAATATCATAAAATGTTAATTATTACAACAGAAGAAACCATCTGAAAACTTCCTTACAGTTGAAACTGCTCAACTTAAATGAAATCTACATCATATTTTTATGTGTTTATAAAGTGTGGCCAAAGCAGTTTCTCCCATAGATTGAATACAAAGATGGAGACATGGCAGCTCCACAAAAGTGAAGCCAAAGCATTTCAAACACCACCTGGTGGCTGGCTGCAGAAAAGGTCATAAATCCTGCCTCCTCCTTGTTAGTGGATGGGACATGGACCAAACTGAAAAGGAGGTTGCTCTTATGATACTGATGTACATCCATCCATCCATCCTTTATCTAAACCATTTAACCTTGCATTGGGGCAAGAAGTGGAGTCAGACCCGTGACAGGTCGCCAGCATCACAGAAATAATTTGGCTCACAATTGGTCAAGTACATGTATTGATGGGACCTCAGCTGCCTCAGCTCCTGGATATTTTAGCTTCATTTCTAAATGGTGAGAGGAAGTGGAAAACCTCATCTGTTTTTATTTACAGTTTATAGTTTTCTCCACATGGTTAGTGATGGCCTAAACACTTTCTGCATGATACCATCTTATAGCCCTCCTTAACCCAACTTGTGAACCATAAGCCATAAAGAGAAGTACACCAATGTGGAGCAGTCAGTCAGTGACTTGGTACCCATAGAGATAGGTTGACAGGAATAGTAAACATGATCAAGTTTATTTTCATCATATACATCAGAGCTGCCCATTCAGCTGTGGTTACACTCATCTGTTTTTTATTTGCATGTGAAGTTGCACTTAAAGCATGGAGCCTTGTTTGAACGGTTCCTGGGAGATCGCAGGCAAACCAACAAAAACAAGAAGCGAAGGAGCAAAAACATCAGTGAGAGAGGACGTTTTTCATCCAACTAAGTGATGGTCAACATGCACAATTGTCATTCCTTCCCTCAGCAATTTACTGCAGCAAGCTTTTGTTTATGTGAACAAATAGTCTTGATTTTACTCAGACAATTACAGAATGATTTGACCATATTTGGTGAAGGGGGATGTCAGTTTGTAAACACCCTGCATCGGTCTGTCAGATCGAATCAGTGTCCACCCATTCCTGAGCTGAGCCTCAACCAAAATATTTTGCTGCTTGCCAAAAGCAATTTGCTTTGTGTCCCTCCCTGACATGAACTCCCTTCATTTGTTTTATTTCCCTCACACCCACTGTAAAGGTCTGCCCAGGACAAACTTTATTTCAGAGGCCTTGTTGTTGTATGTTTGATGTCTTCTATCATGTCTTCATGGAAGGTGACAAAATGGACAAAAATAAATCCCCTCTGAAAAAGTGACAAATGTCCAATTAGAAATAATCAAACCACGTGTCTGAATATAAACAGACTTCCTCTTAACTGGCTGTAGAATGTGTAGGTGAATTAGAGAAAGAAAAAGACAATCTGTCCTCCCGCAGATATAATGACAGCTGCTCTCTCCCCAGTCATAACTGATTCGTATCATGGGAGGATGTTAAGAGAATGTTAAAGATGTGACAAAGTGATCAACATGTAAGCTAAGTCTAACTGGTGCAAGTGAATGCAAGAAAAATAAAAGAACACATGAAACTATGGTGAATGACACTCAGTAGAGAGTATCAATCATTCAATCAAATCTTATATGTATTCCTCTAACAAGACCCAACAATCCTCATAAATACACCAAATTTCACACACTCACAAATATCGGTTCTCTCAATATGCCTGATTTGTTTCTTGAAGATCCATTAGCTGTTTCCTGGGAAATCAGTGAAAACAATGAATAAAGAAAATAGAAAAAAATCAATTCAAGATGATCTTATGAATTGATTTTCCCTCTGGTTGAACCTATAGAGGAGAAAAAGTTGTGTCAGGGGTTCTGGACCTTCATCAACAAAAGTAAGCACAAGCGGAAGTTGTGGAAATGCCTTCATTTTGGTTCATGGTGATAGTTTTGGAAGACATCAGGCCTTGTGTAAAAGAACAACATCCGGAAGGCTGAAACTTTTCTCCAGGCACACAGATGTGGTTCCATACAAACACCTTCTTTAGACAGTTACATATGGAGGAGAAAAAAGTACCTCAGATACTACTTATAAGAGTCATAATACACAATGACTGATTTCTGACACACAGATATAAATGTTAAAATATTCATGTATTATGTTAAAAGATTATCTAATAAAATCTGGATGATTCTTAACCAATTATCAGAATTATATTGATGAAATCCTAGTATAGCAAATATGTGCTTGGTTTAAAATCCCAGAGGTGTGTTTCCATTCAGCGGTTTTTAATCCGCATTTTCAAATTTTCGCCTCAAAAACAATTCAAAACTAAACACACATCACACACACGCAGGAGTTCCCTGAAGTGACCCTCCAGATAAAGAAAGAGGCGGTTACTTCAGTCTTTATCAAAGATCAGCAGGCTGAGATTGTTTCCTCTGAAGGTTTGCAGGAATAAAAACTGAAATGACGAGAAAGTGCAAGTGCTGTTTAAAATGTTGTTTTGCTCAGGAAACCGAGGTCCATTGAGATCAGTTGTAAACTCTTCATTGTTTTCTATGAAATGTTTGCAACTGTTACTGTATATGGTGCCATGTTGGTGTGAGCAGGTTTATTCAGCTGCACTGGATCCACTGCATATTCCAGGAGTATTTTTATGCACTGAGCTGTGTAATATTTTGATAGTGAGCTTCTCCAATCCCTGTGATGTGTTGTTCATGCACAAGTGATCAAACTAGTTTTGTCTTTTCATTTATATCCTCTATCAGCCACACGGCAACTCACAGCTTTTCTCAAAGCCTGCTTAGCACAGACACACTCACGCTCTTACATTTTATTTGTCAAGTTGACGTCTTGTGAATTAGAGCATGATTTTTCAACTTTTATTCTTAAGCTGTTTATAGAGAACAGATTTGATTATATGCAGTAGATTTTAACAAGCATAATAAGTAACAGCAAGATGGTAAAAAATGCATAGAATTGGTCTAATTTTCAGTATGATCGTGGTTCAATGACGTGTCCTGCCACAGGGGATAAGAACAGAGGTCTGTCTCATGCCCCGGGTTTCAGTTTAGGCCAATGGCTTCCAGCAACTGCTGCCCAACGCTCCAGAGCATCACACAAAAGAAGGAAGCACACATCTGGGAGAAACTGCAGTGTAATGTCACTGCGGGGAATAACAGCGAGACACTGGAGTGAAAAACACCCACATATTTGTTATGCTGAGCTGTTAAGTAGAGAGGAGGGAATAGTGAGTAAGTTAATGTCCTGTGTCGTATAAGATCTCGAGAATGTGATAAAAAAGTCAAACAGTTCAACATTGTTTTAGAATCTCTCACAGGGGACTGAAGCCGACACTGAAGCGAAACAGCACTATGAGTAAAACTTTCTAAAATAAAAAAAGTAGCTCAGTGAGACAGTGTGTGAGGAGGCAGCACTGTAACATACAGTGTGTGAGGAAGACGCTATCTAGTGGCCATGCTGAGCAAGACAAGCACCAAGGCCAGCCGAGGACAAACTGAGACACTTGTTACAGGGACATGATCCTGTATCTCACCCATGGCTCTTAATGCAACAGAGCTTTTTCTGCTCGATGTCTGTCCGTCTAACTGTCTGTCTGTCTAACTGTCTGTCTGTCTGTCTAACTGTCTGTCTGACTGTCTGTCTGTCTGTCTGTCTGTCTGTCTAACTGTCTGTCTGTCTG